ACACCTTTGCTGACATCCTCACGTGGGCACCGCTGTTGGCAGGCTTATATCTGGAGCCCAAGGGACCCCAAGGAGTTTTCCCAGGTGCCAAATCAGGACCAAGACAGTCCCTGAGCTGCTAGCAAAGAGAGAAAAATCAATAAGGCAGTGGCCTTCTGCCGCCATCAAGCCTAGCAAGGTGCTCGGTTAGCTTTGCTGCAAACACTCCGTCCCCCCACCCCCGGCAAAAGAATGCTCCATTTTCTCATATTTTGTGCAACTGGTTACACTTTGCGTGCGTGTGCATTTTTAAGTGATGTCACCTAAAGCTCTTTGAGTCCATTTTTAAGTAGAATTTTTTTTCTGTGCATTGGCACATTAAAAACCTCGTGTATCTGCATAGGCGATATTTCCCAGCTCCCTTGTCCACTTCGGGACTAACTTTACAAAAATGGATCTCAATTTTTGGCTCCTTCAATTCATCTAAACCTTTCAAACTCATCCCAGCATCCTGGTGAAGTATTGATTCTTTCCTACCGGCTTGCTACTTCAGGGACTGGGATAGGCAGAGAGGGCAGCCTGGCACCTGTGTCAGACTCACAGGGGACCACCTGGGAGAGAATCAAGCCTCTATCTCACCTACTTGCTAGCAGGTCAATGACAGGAGAGGAAGTGGCCCGAAGAGACAGACGGCATGCGGCACACACAAGGGTATGACAGGCATGATGTGAAAGGTACTAGCAGGGGCCTTGGGATGTCCCAGCTGCTCCTCATGTTCAGGAAACTTCATTTCAGAGCTCCCTCTTCCCACAGTTGCTGTCCTCCGGACCCCCTCTAGACAAGCACCATTGCAATCTTTTTTATTTCACATGGTGCTCCAATGAGCTCCACCACTAAGGGGTGTTGAGGGGAGAGAGTGAGTGAGAACATAGAGGTAACAGAAGAGAAAGAGCTTAAGGCTTCCGGCTGGACTATTCAATATAAATGTATACTCGTCTGACTGAGCTAGGGTGAATTGCTGATCTACCTCCATCTCTTCGTTCGTCAAACGGATAGGATGTTAGCAATTCATACCTGACACATCACTGAGGCCTGGACTGAGTCAATGCACCCATATAAAGTCAGTTGATTCCAGCTCCCAAATCCCATGACTCAGTGCCTAGCCCTGGTGGTGCTATGGGATAGGCGTTGGGTTGCTAACCTCAAGGTTGTCAGTTCAAATGCACTAGCTACTCCACCAGAGAGAGATGAGGTTATATAGGATCACTATGAGTTGGAAAGAAGCCCTGGCAGCATAGTGGCTTCTGAATTGAGCTGTTCATCTGAAGGTCAGTCATTCAAAACCAATAGCCACTCTGCAGTAAAAGATGAGGCTTTCTATTCCTGTAGAGAGTTAGAGTCCTGGACCCCGCCAGGAGCAGTTCTACTCGGCCCTGTGGGGTTCACTCTGCGATGGCAGTGCGGGCCGTGTTGGCATGGCCTCGATGGCAGTGCACTGGGTTTGGAAGGCTTCGCCACGTTGGGGCTGTGAAAACAGAGCTGTCAATTCTTAGGACTCTGGAAGTTGGATATTATCCTGCCCATTTAATAAACGAGGGGCAGCAAGTCCAGGAAGTGACAGGGCAGCTACAGGTTGAGCACTCGGAACCTCGTGCAGCCCGCTTCCCCGGCTCCCTTCTCCCTACCATTCAGCACTCCTGTGGTCAGCAGCTGCTCGGTCTTAGAGCAGAGCCGAGGCAGGGGAGGCCTCCATACTGACCTCGCCAGTGGCTCACACAGTTGCATGCACGTGGCCTGGCCATTCTGGGGTCTTACCAGCCAGTCGGTATCTTAGAGGATATGGCCTCAAGGAGCTGAAGGCAAAGCCCTCAGGTAGAGGGCCAAGGGTGGGCTTTGCTCCAATAGGGATGTGGGGACCCACAGAGAGGCGATGGGAGTGGAACCAGGTAGAACGGCCCACCAAAGCAAAAGTGTGGCCAGAACCCAGTCCTGCCTGTGGGTGAACAGGACGCATGCTCACCAACCACACCTGCATTCACAGAACTTCCGGGGATGGCTCTTACCTGGGGCTGCTCCAAATGGAAACATAATCCATAGCTTCACTCCCACAAATATGTTTATCCCACGTGCTACACACGGAAGGAGAAAGCAGCCTGTATTTCATTAAACAGTTTGCCTCGGGTCTTGTGAGCAAGTTTTAGAATCTGCACTGGGTACGGAGTCTAAAATGCATCTTTAACAAATCGTATGTTGAAAGAAAGAAAAGAAAACATTGCTAAATCTTTTAAGTCAAACAAGCAAAACAATAACCTCTTTGTTTAAAAAAAAATCTGCTCTATGACTTAGTGAAAAAATCAGAATTCCGTGGTGGGGGCCCAGGACGTTGAAGGCTGGGGGAGATAGTGTTCCATTCTGGCACCTGCTGGGGAGTGGCTGGGCTCCCCCTCCCTAGGGCCCAGGAAGGCTCACCTGTAGGTCCAGAGCTGTCAACTTCCCCTTGTCGCCTGCATTTCGGGCATACTCCTCGATAGTCCAAGAAGGCTGGCCCCGCTTCACCTCGGCCATTTCCGTCAGCCGCATGTCGGTGTACAGCGGGTTGCTCTTCGTGTGCGCCTTGAGGGACGCAGGATAGGGATGCGGGCTGAACACCTGTTCCACCAGGAAGCCGCTGTCTTTGGACTGCTTGGGCAGCCGGTGCTGCGGAGGGATGTCGTACTGCCTGTCTACCTGCGGAGGGGGTACAGAACAGTCCCGAAAAGCGGCATGGGTGTCGTCTGATGTCACAGTACATTTACCTGGGCCTTGTATCAGCTTTATAGACATCCAGGTAGCAAAAGACACTTAACTTCAAAACCGATAGGAAGCGTACCTGTGTGACGGGAATTTCTCTAGGAAAAGATGGCAATGCTAATAATAGCACTAACCACCCAAAGCAAACCAATGGCCCTGGAGCTGACCCTGACGCCCCCTGTGTTTCAGAGGAGAACTGCAGGCCTTTCTGAAATGGATTTTTCTGAGGTGCCTTTGTGTGGGTTCAAACCACCAGCCCTGGCCTTTAGTAACTAAGTGCTGACTCAGGACGTGCTAGTAATTATTGCAAAGACTTCTTAATAGTACTCACTGCCACTGAGCCTACACAGACTCACAGTGTAGACCTTATAGGACAGGGTAGAACTGCCCCTGTGGTTTCTGAGACTGTTACTCTTTACGGGAGTAGAAAGCCCGGTCTTTCTCCGATGGAGCCACTGGTGGTTTCGAACTCCCTACCTTGCAGTTAGCAATTCAACACGCCACCAGAGATGTCCCAGGAAGAGATGGTTTTATCCAATCTACACACCATCAATATCATTATGATTGAATCTAGAAAGAGTCTAAGCCATGCCGCAGGGCCCATCTGGTAAAGAGTCAAGCCGCGATATGTAACTGAAGATCTGCTTTTGGGGAGTCTTTGCTTAACCTCTAACCAGCAGGAAGGGGGAAAAGCAGAGTCCACTCCCAGGAGGGAGGAATGCACTGAAGGCCACAGAATGGAGAGGGCCCAGACTGACATATATTAGCCTAGGTATTAGCAACTGTGTGCTAGCCACTTCAAGCAGATCTTTCTCAAGCTGTAGCTATTCCTGCTGACTTAACATTTTCCAGACTAAAGGCATGGCCAACTCAGTGTAACTTGATATTCCTATACCCGTAGTCATCCATTCGATTACAACTCAGAGCAACCTTAGAGAGCAGAGGAGAAGGGTCCCAATGGATTTCCAAGACTTTACGTCTTTATAGGAGCAGATAGCCTCATCTTTAACCAGAGGAGTGACTGGTGGGTTCAAACCACTGACCTGGAAATTTCTTAATATCACACAAAAAGGGTTGGGGGGGGGGGGGGTGCTTCTTTTTCTCCATTTTAGGTGGTGCAAACTTCTTTAAAACTCAGCTTGGTTTTGTTTGCTTTCTTTTCAAGTGTTTCCTTCTTCGCATGATTGGAAGAACTCCTCCCTCTCTGGCACTGAGTTCTGCAGCCCACACCACCTTCCCTCTTTGCCCCCTCCCATGACCCGAAGAGTCCCTGTCGGCCGCCCAGTGACCTTTAGAAGCAGGGAAGGGAATTGAGAGCATCAACAAATTGAAATCTCATCACCTTGGCCAGAGTGGGTTGGCTGTAACCCATTTAGAGTGACGATAAGGAGTCACAGGTCTCACGGCAACAAATCATCTTTACTGCAGGGCACGGAACTCAGAATCTGAACGTATGCCAACAGCGCTCCCTCTCAAGTTGATGGGGGAAAGAAGCCTCCTCCGAGCCAACTGCACCAGCTGACAGGTAACAGCAGAAAGGTGATGCCGGGGAAAAAAATTAAACAGGGAAAGAAGTCCCCGTATGAAGAGTTGCTAGCCTTGGGGAGTAGAACTATGAGAAAACTATTTATCATCTTTTCTCTACTCGCTGCTAGGTGCCATCAAGTCGGTTCCAACTCATCGTGACCCTGTGTACAACAGAATGAAACATGACAGGCTGGTCCTGGGCCATCCTCACAACAGAGACCATGGTGACAGCCAGTTGTGTCAATCTTTTTTTCCCCAATCATTTTATTAGGGGCTCATATAACTCTTATCACAATCCATACATACATCAATTGTGTCAAGAACTTTTGTACATTCATTGCCCTCATCATTCTTAAAACATTTGCTCTCTACTTAAGTCCCTGGTATCAGCTCCTCATTTCCCCCCCTCCCTCCCCACTCTCCCCTCCTTCACAGACCCTTGATAATTTATAAATTATTGTTTTGTCATATCTTGCACTGTCTGACATCTCCCTTCACCCACTTTTCTGTTGTCCATCCCCCAGGGAGGAGGTTATATGTAGATCCTTGTAATCGGTTCCCCCTCTCTACCCCACCCTCCCTCTACCCTCCCAGTATCGCCACTCTCACCACTGGTCCTGAAGGGATCATCTGCCCTGGATTCCCTGTGTCTACAGTTCCTATCTGTAACAGTGTACATCCTCTGGTCTAGCCAGATTTGTAAGGTAGAATTGGGATCATGATAGTGGGGGAGGGGAGGGTGAAAGAGGAAGCATTTAGGAACTAGAGGAAAGTTGTATGTTTCATCGTTGCTACACTGCACCCTGACTGCAAGAATACTTTGTTCTATTAAACTGGCATTCCATGATGCTCACCTTCCTGACATAATCACTGAAGACAAAGCGGGTGCATAAGCAAATGTGGTGAAGAAAGAAGATTGTGCCCGGCTATCAAAAGATATAGCATCTGGGGTCTTAAAGACTTAAAGATAAACAAGCGGCCATCTAGCTCAGAAGCAACAAAGCCCACCAGCCTGTGTGATCACGAGGTGTCGAAGGGATGAGGTCTCAGGCTTCATCAGAAAAAAAAAAGCATATCATTGTGAATGAGCAGAAGTGCGGAGTGGAGACCCAAAGCCCATCTGTAGGCAATTGGACATCCCCTTACGGAAGGATCGTGGGGAAGAACGTCAATCTGTCTTAAGTGAGAGACTTCCTCTTTTTTCCAGGACCGTCTATTTTACAGAACATAACATCCCTACTAATCATTTGTTGATCTTATACTAAAACAAACCCCCCCCAAAATCCCATACTTTTAAAAAGGAACACTGTACATGCAGCCATGTACCTGTAGGGGACATATTAGCTAGTTGGCCTTTAAGTCATTCTTTAATCTGCCCATGTCCTGCTATTTCAGAAAGGAGAGAAAGGGACTCTTGGTGGTGCCTGCAGCCTCTGACCCACACCCACCTGCAGTGAAAATCGATTCTCACATGCCCTGGCCAGTATCTGACCCACAGCTTCACAGCATATGGGCTGATATGAGTGATACTTTGGCAGGGCAGTCCACTTGCTTATGCTTATGCTGTCTTTCTTAAGCCAAAGTTGCCAAGCCTACCAAGTCTGTATGAACACCTGGCACACTCCTCTTGCTTTTTAATGCGGTGTGCAAAGCATTGAAACACACCAGGGCTGGCCTAAAAGCCTGCGCCTCAATTCCATGAACTTAATAACATTTGAGTTACCTCTTTCGATTTCCGATGCCAATCTTTGTTGTCCCCGGGGCCTCTGTCTTTCAGCTCCTCCTCGTTGAGGCCCAGGCGATTGGTGTAGGTGATGGTGCGCCAGTCTCGCGGGGAGTTGGAGATACTGGCGATCTTGGACTCCGTGGCACTGTTCTCCTCCGTCAGGGACCTGGAGGACGGCCTGGTGAAGAGGCTTTTTTTTAAGGCCTTGACGCGCAGGCTTTCGCTGTTGCTTCCGCTGGCGTCAGAACAGCACCAGTCGGCGTGGTTCTCCAGCTTGGGTCCGTGGGAGCCATTGTGCGCCCGGAAGATGCGCGGGGAGGCGCTGTCGTCGGATGGAGCCTCACTCGTCAAGGAATTCAGATCGATCTGCACGCTCACCTCCGGCTGCTGCATTTTCTGATCCAATTTGTTCAGCTTGCCCAGGACCTGGGAGATTTCCTCGCGGACTCCGGACAGCGACTCGAGTTTCCGTTCGATCTCGCCGATCCTCAGCACCAGCTTGCACACACTGCTCTTCAGCTCTTCTTCCGAGTGATGGTGCCCGGCGGGCCGGCTGCCCTTGTCTGCCTTGCTGTTGGGAGCCCCGTTGGCGGCCTTGGACAGGTTACGCTCGGGCGAGCTGTCACAGTCTAATTTAGGAAGCTGCGACAGGGACCCGGTGCTGTTGTAGCAAGAGGACTGTATGACGCCGGTGGAGCCGCTGATGCTCATGTCGTCGAGGAAGCGGAAAATGTCGCTGATGTCGTCGCTGACGACCTCTGAGTCGTCATCCGAATGCTTCATGTACTTGCCCTGGGTGGGGTCTTTGCATTTGGGGGGCTCCAGCACATGCTGTTCCGTCTGGGTGCCCACGCTACTGGTGTCCGAGCTGAGCTGTCTGCTGGTGCAGCCAATGCCTCTGTCCTTAAATTTTTTGACCTGTTCGTGTTTGTCCAGGTCCACGGGGGACGCGACCTCTTTAGACTTGAGCCCGTTGGCTTTTGCGGCATAGCCAACTGGGACCATCTGCGGCTGCTCCTTTGGGGCCAGGTACGACTGGCGCCTGTCTGGGGCTGGGAAACTGGGGGACTGGCTACTGGAATTGGGGTACCGGAGCTTTTCCTCGGAGGGGTTTCTATTCAAAAAGGACCGTTCAAAGTCAGGAACCTCTTCAGTGTTCAGGCTCCAGCTTTTGGCTGGCCAAGGGCTCTGCTTGCTGGGCCTCCCGGGACACCGGCGGGCTTCGTGGGCCCCCATCACTGGGGTGGGGCCGAAATAAGTAGAGGCTTGAAGGTCGTCTAAGCTCTCATGCTTCACCCGCCTTTTGTCCAGAACTGGGGAATACACGGGGTTCAGGTACTGGCTATTGTAGGGCATTTCAAAACTGTGATTAAAGAAAGGTGGCTTGAGGGATTCCTTGCGACTCGGGGGTTCCCCGTGCTCGCTCTCTGCTTTGCCAGCGGGGCCTACCAAACTGGGGGATACGGCCATCAGACTGTGAAAGTCCTCTTTAAAAATGTTCCTCTTCTGGACACAGGACTGGACCACGAAGGGCTCGTCGTTGGCCAGGAAGGTCTCCTTGCGGCCCGGGTTGATGGGCAGAGAGTCCTGGTCTGACAGGGACTCGTTCTCGATGTTCATGGGGAAGTAGGTCCTCTGCATCTCGCAGGGCTGGGGGCTGGCGACCGAGTAAGGGGCAAGGGCCTGCAGCCTGTCCAGGGAGGCGGCACGGCTCTTCCCCTCTTTGCTGACCCCCAGCAAGAAGTTGGGCTCGGAGGCGGGGACGAACTGCGGGCAGTCCTTGCAGTCCATCTTCCTGCACTTGGACGACTGGCGGGTGGGGTAGCCCCGGCTGAAGGGCCGCTCCTTCAGCTCACAGTTCAAGGGCTCACACTGGGCCGCGGGGCAGATCTCTGCGTCCGAACGGCATGACTCGAAAGACGAGTCCTTCTTGCGGGTTTTCTGGCGGCTCGTAGGCAGCTTCTCCTTGGCGGCTCCCCCGTTCATTTGGATCAGGTTGAATATCGTCACAATGTCCGCGGCCACCATGATTTTCTTGGATTGCTGGTTATTCACGGTGCATTTCATCTTGTCTTTGAATAACGTGGCTGGAAAATTGGGATCGAGGCAAGCCGTGTAGAAGAGCACGCTCCTGAGCTTGGCCAGCTGCGACAGGTCAAAGCGGGCGCACAGAGACTTGCACAGGTCCTGGTAGGGGACGGTGTTCTGCTTACTGTCCAGTTCCTCCAAGATCCTAACCAGGAAGACAGACGTTTCCTGGCTGGTCTCCATGGTTTAGAAGGACACGCCTTGCTGGCAACAGTGAAACTTCAGGCCAGTTCTACGACGACAATATTAAAAAAAAAAAGACAGGGAGAAAGGATGATCAATGCCAATGGTGAATTGTCACATTTGTTATGAAACATATAAATAAACAAATCCCATTAACTCACTGCCCTCCAGTCAATAGCCCTAAGGGACAGAGCCTCTAGGAGTGTCCTTTCTGGGGGAAGACGATTTAATCTTACGTGCAGAGATGATTTAAGGGCTGGAACCACGCACGGTGCAGCCAACAGTCCAATGCTTAACCCACGGTGCCTCCAGAGCTCCAAAGAGCAGCAAATGCTGCGTCATCTATATTTTACAACACCTCGTTAGAAGGAGGAAAAGGCAGCGCTAAAAGAAAATAATTTTAAAATACAGGGGGAAACTAAAAATGATCCTGTTTTTAAATATTCACAACTTCCATTTAGTCTATGAGGATGTTCATTGTGTTAGTATTTAAAATAGTAGAAACAAGCAAGACAATAATGTTGTTGTTGTTGTTGTTGTTAAGTGCCTTCAAGATAAATTCGGTTCACTTTGACTCCATAGGACAGAGTGGAATTGGCCTCCCATGGTTTTCCTACGGGAGCAGGTAAGCAGGTCTTTGGAGGTTTCTCCCTCAGATCTGCTAGTGGTGGCGTCCACTCACTGACCTTTCCATCCACAGATGAGCACTTAACTATTGTACCATCGGGGCTCCTTAAGAACAGTAATAGGGGTGGCTTCCCTGACCTAACCTGTTGGGTCGTGGAACCCGCCCGGGAGCTGAAGATGCTCCTGTCCCTTTCTCTGCTCTCCGTTCCCTCCAGGGAGTTCTTTCCCTCAATAAAATCTTTCACACACACAAAAAGAACAGTAATAGGGGATGCAAAAATAAAACAGGGCGAGATACACAATGAATTTTTACAAATATTAGGGTGACATTAAGGTAACAGTTGGCTAATCAGCAATGAAGAGAAATAAACTGCTAATACTTGCAACAGCATGGATGAATCTCAAGTGTCTTGTGCTTGAGCCAGGCAAGCCAGGCTGAAAAACACTACCTATGGTATGGTGACATTTTAATGGCATTCTGGAAAACAGATCAGTGTTGTCAGGGTCTAGATGGGAGGGGAGAGAAGGGGGTGGGGGGTATGAAGAGGCAGGAAGAAATTTTTCAAGATGGTGGAAATACTCGATATCTTGATTATGGCAAAACTCACATAACTAGCCAGTGCTGATGTTGTTGTTAGGGACTATCGAGTCAATTTCCAGTCACAGTGACCCTGTGTACAACAGAGCCAAACACTGCCCACTCCTGGCCCATCCTCACAATCGCTGTTTTGTTTGAGCCCATTGTTGCAGCCACTGGTCACTCCGTCTTGCTGATACCAAATGATCCAGCAATCTCTTTACTAAGTTTATACCCTGAAGAGATAAAACTGGAGCAGATAGACGCACACCCATGTTTATCACAGTGCTGTTCACCACAGAAAGAAGATGGAAGCAACCAACGTGCCCCAAAGCAGAGCAAGGGATAAACCACCTTTGGTACATCTGTGCAATAGAATATTATGCCTCCCTAAGGAATGATGATGAAGCTGTCCAACACCTCCTGGCATGGACAGATTTGAAAGATAAGATGCTGAGAAAGCGTGTCAATCCCCCAAAGACAAATATTTCCTGATAGCACTATTAGGGGGAAACAGTGAAGAAAAATGGCCTTCACACCAAAAACAGCAGATCTGATCATTACGGAGAAGTGGTGGCAGGTAGGATAGGTGGGGGATGAGGAGATAAGGATAGAGGGAAGGGTAAAATCACATAATGGATGACCTTCCTTTTTTCCAATGACCTTTTACTTTAGCAGATAAATCCTGCTTTTACAGACTGGTCACTCTAGACTGAGGTTTAAATGTTATACTATGTTAAAACGACGTCATTGAGTTGGTTCTGACCCGTGCTGACCCCATGTGTGTCAGAGTAGAACTAGGCTCCCTAAGGCTTTCAATGGATGCTTTTCCAGAAAAGATCACCAGGTCTTTCTTCTGAGGCACCTCTTATACTCTATATAAATGATAGCAATTCAAAAATTACACTAATGACTTTTTATGGGAATAGAAAATATGTTTTAAAAAAACACAAAGATTTTATGATAAAAACAAATGCAATACAATATTGAGTGAAAAATCTGAATGTAAATCTATATATGTAGTAAGAACTGTTTATGTAAGTAAAATTTAAATGAAGGAAATAATATACACCAAATGCTAATTAATGGCAGTTATGTTTGAATACTAAAATAGGGTTGTTGTTTTTTTAACTTAGTCATCTTTTCCCCAATGCTTGATTATGCAAACTTTTAAAATGCAATAAGGTTTAAAGAATTTTTAAAAAAATCATTTTATAGGGGTCTCATAAAACTCATCACAATCTATCTATCCATTCATTTTCTCAAGCACTTTTGTACATTTGTTTCCCTCATCATTCTCAAAACATATGCTTTCTACTTGAGCCCTTGTTATCAGCTCCTCATTTTTCCCCTTCCTCCCTGCTCACCCCTCCCCCATGAACCCTTGATAATTTATAAATTTTTATTATTCTGTCATATCTTACACCATCCGACATCTCACTTTACCCACTTCTCTACTGTCCGTCCCCCAGGGAGGAGGTTATATGTAGATCCTTGTAATCTATTCTCCCCCCAATATCGCCACTCTCACCACTGGTCCTGAGGGGTTCATCTGTCTTGGATTCCCTATGTTTCCAGTTCCTATCTGTACCAATGTACATCCTCCGGTCCAGCCGGATTTGTAAGGTAGAATTGGGCTCATGATAGTGGTGGGGAGGAAGCATTCAAGAACTAGAGGAAAATTGTATGTTTCATCATTGCTACACTACACCCCGACTGGCTTGTCTCCTCCCCATGGTCCTTCTGCTAGGGGATGTCCAATTTCCCACAGATGGGCCCTGGGTCCCCATTCCACACTCCCCTTCATTCACAATGTGGGCCTCTTCTCAAGTACTCCCTCAACACAAGAATATTTTGTTCTAACAATTCGGGAGTCTGAGATGCTCACCTGCCTGGCATGATGGCTGAAGACAATGGGTGCACAAGCAAATGTGGTGAAGAAAGCTGATGGTGCCCGGCTATCAAAAGATATAGCATCTGAGGTCTTAAAGGCCTGAAGATAAACAAGCGGCCATCTAGTTGAAAAATAACTAAACCCACATGGAAGAAGCACACCAGCCTGTCCCAACTCGATCGCTGAGGACAAAGCTGAGGATGCATAAGCAAATGTGGTGAAGAAAGCTGATCTGCCCCACTATCAAAAGATATAGCATCTGGGATCTTGCTTGAAGATAAACAAGTGGCCATCTAGATGAGAAACAACAAAGCCCACATGGAAGAAGCACACCAGCCTGTGAGATCACAAGGCATCGAAGGGATCAGGTATCAGGTTTAAAGAATTTTATAGTGAAAACTCATATACCCACCATCTGGATTCTACCATTAACATTTAACTTTATTTCCTTTATCACATATCCATCTATCTATCCGTGTTCAAATCATTTTTTATGTACTTTAAAATAAATTGAACACGTCTGTATACTTCCCCTTCAACACTTCAAAATGCATATCATTAACCCAAGTGATGTAATTGTAAATATTTCCTTTAATATAAAATGTACATGTATTACTCTTAAGTGTGTATTTGCTAACGCTTTGAAAAACACATGCCAGTGGAGCGCAAACCCTATATATACATAAAAGGTTCTCATTGGCCCTGAAATTTCCCTATGGTTTTGCTGCTCAACCACTTCTCTTAGTTTTTAAAGGTGATTTTTATCTTTTCGTTATCATTTTTTATCCTTTCTAAAATGTCCACAACCTGTATGTATTGCATTGTAACTGCAGAACCAAACAGGAAAAGTTACATTAACTAGTCAGAGAAGAGGACGAAAAGCACTGAACCAAAATTTAAACTTGGCAAGAGAAAGTTAAGCTCTTTGTTAATAAACATGAACATAGGTTCAGAGAATTACAAGGACGCATTCCATTCCATTCTGTTAGCTTCCTCTGTGGCATCTTGCTTTAAAAAAAAACAAAACAAAGCTTTCTGATAAGGTACTTGCTGATTTTAATGCTGACTTACTCATTCTCTTATAAGGCCACTGCGGATTTCCTTAAATCTTACCAGCCCTGGGCAATGGACCTGCACTCCATCCTAATGACAGACGGCTGTCCCCAGCCCTACGCACTGGTTTCTTTAGAGTCAATTTCAACTCCTGGGGATCCAATGTGGGGAGAACTGTACTCAAGAGGATTTTCAGTGGCTGATTTTTTTGGAATTAGCTCATTAGGCTCTTCTTCCAAGAAGCTTCTGGGTGGACTAAACCCTCCAACCCAGTATACTCAAGGAGTCCTTGCAGGTATCCTTCCATAAACATTAGTTGGGTCGCTCCCGTGAGCCTCTGATTGGATTTGCACCCAACAGTGGTTTGGCTGGGCTTGGACATGAGAGGAAAGAAGGCCTGAGGAGTGTTTTTCCTGTCCAAACCATGTTATTGCCATTAAGAAAGCCAGGCGTCCCAGCCCAGCACTCCCTGCCCTTGCCCCAGTCATCCAACCCATCTGATGAAAGCGTTCAGTGTCAGAATATTCTGGTTTGTTAAATGTGTGGACAGCTGTCATGCTTGGGCTTCAAGCAACTAATCAAGCACAGAAATCAGAGCAGAAGACAAATGAACATCATTTTGGGAACAGCTACTACAACTTGTGCACACAGCATTATAAGGTTCTGGTGAGCAAAGCACTTTAGAGACTTTAAAAAAAATAATAAATATGTGAGGCCTTCTTCAGTTTCATTATTACTCTCTGGCCGGTGAGGAAACAGGCTTGGAGAATTCAAGGGACCAGCAAGGAGAATGAAGGCAAGTGTCCCAGCCTGACACCATGTTTGTGTCTCACCCTGAGCTGCTCAAGA